CTCCTCCGGGACCCCCGACCCCACACCCCCCCGGGACCCCCGACCCCAGCCCTCCTCCGGGACCCCCGACCCCACACCCCCCCGGGACCCTCGACCCCGCACCCCTCCTCCGGGACCCCCGACCCCGCGGGCCGTCCTGTGCGGGGGGGGGGGTTCTTTGGGGAGGAGGGCTCTGTGGTGATGCGGTCACCGGGGAGGTCACCGGGAAGGTCACCGGGGAGGTCACCGGGCCGTGACGTGGGGCGCGGAGGACACGGGCCGGGCTTCCCGGGAGGCTGAGGCCCGAGGACCGCGGTTCAGGGCCCGGCGGGAGCCCGGGGCTGGGACCGCGGGCTCTGCCCACCCTCTCCCGTCTCTCCTCAGGCTTCCGTCCCGAAGTTCGAGAAGGTTCCGTGGCTGAGCGAAGCGAGCATCATGAACAAGCCGCTGGTGCTCAGCCTCCCGAAGAGGTAATGGCGGCCGGAGCCAGCGTGCGGGCCCCGGGCCCCGAGCGGGGTCTGTGCGGGACCCGGGCCCCGAGCGGGGTCTGTGCGGGACCCGGGCCCCGAGCGCTGCTCAGCTGGACACAAACAGCACAGAGAAGCCAAAGGGACTTAGGAGGCCCCCCGAGCCGCAGGGGAAGCGGAGGGGAGGCCGCCCGGAGGGACTCTCGGGGAGCCGGCGTCTGCGGGAGCCGGCGTCTGCGGGGAGCCGGCGTCTGCGGGGAGCCGGCGTCTGCGGGGAGCCGGCGTCTGCGGGGAGCCGGCATCTGCGTTTCTAACGTCGGCGTGCTTTGATTTTCAGATCCCCTCACTTCTCCGCCACTTCCTTCAGGAAGAACCTGGGCTTGCCAATTCTGCTTCAAGTTCCCAGTGACTTATGGAAGGTACTCATTCGTATTCCTTATTAAAGCGGACCGGGAGCAAGCATCCTCCTGCCCCCCCCCCCGTCACCAATAGAGACATGGACGCCCCCCCCCCCATGCTCAGGGCTTCACCTGCCAAGTCCGTAGAACTAGGAATAAAGAAAGAGGGCTGGACACTTCAAAAAGGCACGCTAGAAATGAACATGTTAAAGTCTGCCCAAAGACCAGCCATTGCTTTTCAACCGGCGCTAGGTGAGTTTAGTTTCTAGGGGGTCTCCAACTCCCTTTCCAGCCTTCCCATCTTCCACAAACAAGTCCCCATACCTGAGCAGTTTCACACTCATCGCGGAAACCAACACTGATTGGCTGCAGCCTGACCCCAGACCCACACCTGTGATTCTTAAAACACCCCTCAACCCCGGGGCCGAGAAAGAAAGAACACCTGGCCACAGGCCCAGAAAACACCGCAGGCCCTCCCGGGGCGGCCGGGGCCGGGGCTGGGGCCGCTGGGGCCGGGGCTGCTGGGGCCGGGGCCGGGGACCAGGCTCTCGGCTGTCTCGGTGCCTGGCCCAGGGCCTCGTGGGTAGTAAGGGTCCAGCCACTGTGGGCCAGGACTGCAGGAGCCCCGATGCCGGCCTAGGACCCGTGCTGAGCCCTTCTGCTGTGCTCTGACCAGTGCGGGGCTGAGGACCCAGCGGGAGCCAGGGCGGCTGGCAGGAGGCTCGGGAGGAAGGGGAGGCCCGCACCTCGTCCTTCCCCAGTGCTGGGGGGGGGGTGGAGAAAGCAGGGTGGGCCCTGGGGTCGGGGCTGGGGCGCTCAGGGAGCGCAGGATGTGCGAGGCGGGGGCAGCGGGTGAGTGGGCACTGGACCGTCCAGAGAGCAGCAGGGCCTCACGGGGTAGAGCGCCAGGAGTCCACGCTGGGGCCGCGTCTTCAGCCCCACAAAGGCCACCGTGAAACGCGCCCAGCCGGCCCCCAGCGCCTGCTCTCCCCGGGCCGGTTGGCCTCTGCCTCTGTGCCCCACGAGGGCGCCGGGCAGCAGCTCGGCTGGGGCCAGGTGAGGGAGAGAAACGGGCCAGCAGAGGGAGCCAGAGCTCCCAAAGGCCTGGCACCCGGGAGGGCAGAGGCCCCGGGCCCACCCGGTCCTCCTGCCGCGGGCCTCCACCAGTCTGAGCGTGAGCGAGTGCCCACCCCGCCCTGCTCCCTGCACACCAGACACACGGAGAAGGAACCCGGGACTGGGTTCTCAGATCCAGGCATTGCCCAGGGCCTGCTGGGAACACGGGCAAGCCAGGAGGCAAATACGTAAGGGCTCAGCCCGCAGCTGCTGCTTTCCAGAGAAGCGTCAAGCCCCGCCTCTCGGCGTGGAATGCACGGGGGACTTCCTATCTGTTCCTCTCGCCCCTAAGCAGAGACTTGCCAAGAAGCCACCACCTGCCCACAGGCAGTGAGAGGCCAGGAGCCTGGGCGTGGGTGCAAAGGTCCTGCCAGCTGTCCCCTTCACGGTCACGGGTCAAAGGGCAGCACTGAGAACTCTCACATCACACCCCAGTGCCCTTCCACCTCACCCTCTGGATACACAGGTGCACAGGCCCTGGGCACAGCATTTCCTGGTAGACAGACAGACGGACGGTCGGAGCATGGGCTCAGCGGCATGGCAGGGAGAGGGAGACAGGAAAGACGACCAAAGAAATGAGGTCTACCCACCTCGAGGAGGCTGGGCACCAGTGACTCTCACCTGTAATCCCACAAGACTGAGATTTGGGGATTGCGGTTCGAAACCAACCCTGCCAGACACATCCATGAGACTCTTAATGAGTCAGAAGTGGAGGTGTGGCTCAAGGAGAGCCCTAACCTTGAGCCAAGGGAGAATGAGAGGCCTAGAATTCAAGCCCCAGTACTGACCAGAAGTGGAGCAGAACAAAAACCAACCATCAAAAGCATCCCTCACGTGAGCATTTGCCGGCAGAGGCGTTGTCTTCAGGCACTTCCAGGCAGTGACACTAGTGAGAGTCAAGGAAGAGAGAGAAGAAAATGTCCAGCTGTTGTAGGGTTGTTGTGCCAAGATGTGATGTAGCAGTCCAGGGCCAGGGGGAGCTGGGGCCAGAGCAGTGGACCAGCCTCTCCGAAGGCCCCCCCACCCCGGGCCTCACCCCTTCCAGCCTCTCTGATCTGACTTTATAGCTCTGGTCTCCGGAGTCAGAACAAAGAACATCATTTATTTTGCTTCGAGCAGAGGTATGGCCGGAAAAAAAAAAAAGGCCTTGGCTGCAAAAATCGCACAGTAGCAGAGTTGAGCTGGGAAAATGTACGGGATGGTGACTCCTCTTTCCCACCACCAAGAACGCGTGGCCTTAATCCTTTCTCAGTCACTCCATCTTTTTCCTGTGTATCGGGTCGTTAAGTTGCTGCGCCAAGCAGTTGGCATCCGACAGAGCAGCGAGTAAACACCGCGCCAGGGCCGCGCCACGGCCGCCCACCTCCTCGGCATCCCACCCGGCCTCACATTCAGTTTGACAGGCTACACTTGGAATTGCTTTCACCGATTCTCCCACTCCTTCTCTTCGTTTGTCTACCCCTCCCCTCGACCACACTCCACCCCTCACGGTCATCTTGTTTACTTTGATTTTGCTATCTACAGAACTTCAGTGACTGCATCTGAATAAATTTGCATAGCACGCAGTGTGTTCACTTATATGCTCGTAAACTAATTCTAGCCTCTAGAAAACACCCCTGGGCCTGGCTTTCTTCACATAAAATTTCCAAGCCTTTTCATCTCTTTGCTAACGATGCAGTGTCATTCTTCTTTGTAACACATGAGGAAAATTCCATAGAGTTTCTATCCCACGTTTTCCTGAGCCCGCGCTCCACGTGTGTGCTCTGGAGCCCTCTGACCCCTGATCAGAAATAGTTAGAAAGGCGTGTTACAGTGGGAGGGGAGGGCTCCCCATTCTTCTACTGGGGCGCACGCGCATGCGCGTGTGTATGTGTGCCAATACTGGGGCTTGAACTCAGGGTCTGGGTGCTGTCTGTCGGCTTTTTCACTGAAGCCTGCTGCTCCTCTACTATGGAGCCACACCTCCACTTCTGGCTTTTGGCTGGTTAATGGAGATCAAAGTCATGTGGACTTGCTTTGAACCTGGGTCCTCAGCTCTCGCACTTCTGAGAAGCTAAGGTTACAGGCGTGAGCCACGGGCACCTAAGCCACGGGCACCTAGTCTCTGTGTAGCTGGGCCACACTCCCTTCCAGAAAGGGAAGCTCCAGTTCTGCCTGAAGCTTGAGGCTTAACAGTCACGAGGCACAGAAGGCCCTGTGCGGCCGGACCAGGCACTTACAACCTGATGCCGAGCCAGAGTTTAAAGCAGAAGAGAGACATGGCCTTGGGCAGGGTGTGGAAGAGAAGTCTTTGTTCACCCTGAGGCCATCAGAGGCCTTGGGGGCCCTTGGGTGGAGCTTTTGTGTCAAATGGGGCAGACGTGGCACCTGCTCCCGTAGTCGCATGGCTGTCGGCCCGGTACCCAGGCAGGGAAGCTGGAACGCACACTAGAGTCCGTCCCCAGCTGTTCAATGCCCGGGACCACGGGTCAGGCCCTCTGAACTCTGCCGCAGCTCTCCAGCCTCAAGATGGCTGGGACGGAAGGAAACCCGTTACCCTCTCACTGTTAATCATCCCTCCAGGCACCTCCGCCTTTGCTCACCTGCATCTGCTTTTCTTCTCAGGACAAGAACCAGAGCAATGTCATGCTGCTCAGAAGAAAGCCGCTGTGTCCTGCGTGTCAAGAAATAAAAATGGTAGGCAAAGGGGTAACAGAAGCACGCATGCACGCCACAGGGGACAGCCCCCCGGAGCCCTGGAGAGGCTACAAATGAGGAACCGTTGGCCTCAGCTGACACAAGATAGTAACATTTTCCCGTCTCAGTAAGCCAGAGTGAACCAAGGTAGGCGGACAGAGGGGGGATGAGCCACTTTGTTTGGGTTCTGAGAGACTCCAACTTTGTGGATGGTGCAGAAGCTCTGCAGCCTCTCCCTTCCTCTTTTTTTTGGGGGGGGGTTCTGGTCATGGGGCCTGAACTTTGGGCTTGGGTGCTGTCCCTCAGCTCTTCAGCTCAAGGCTAGCGCTCTACCACTTGGGCCACAGCACCACTTCCAGCTTTTTTTTTCCTGCTTATGTGGTGCTGAGGAATCGAACCCAGGGCCTCAGGCATGCAAGGCAAGCGCTCTACCACTGAGCCACCTTCCCAGCCCTCTCCCTTCCTCTTAATTTCTCCCTAACATGTAACAGTACACACACACTCACACGCCCACCATCAAGAAACATGAACCTTAATCTTCAGTTTCATCATGAGTTCAACTAGAAAGAAGCTGCAGAAGGATTTCCAGTCATTTGTAGCACATGGGATTATCATTCGACATGGATTACCTGTAATTCGTGGTGGGGAAAGGTGGAAGAGCGTTAGAAAAATAAAGCAAGCCAGAGAGTGGAGGAAACAAAGACACACCTCTTCCCCCTGACAGAGGTGCGGGAGCAAGAGGCCAGGTCCCATGGGAATGGGGGCTGACCTGAGGATCAGGGCTGGCCTACGGTGGTGTCGGGGTCAGGGCAACCGTCCAGAGGGGGTTAAGAATAATTTCGCTACCTGGTGAAGTTTGGGGAGGGGTGGAGAGCCCCCTCCTATCTGATACCCTGTGTTCCTCCTTTGGCTGACAGAGGAGGAGAAGCAAAGCTGGAGGTACCGGAGCGACTCCTCCTCAGAGCTCCTGGCAAAGGCGTTGGGCGGCTAGGATAGGGAAGAGGCAGCCATGTTGTGGCATTTTGTTGTTGGAGGGGCTGGAAATGGAAGGGCTCCTTGCGGGGCTGCCCCTGAATGCTGTTACCTGAGCTCACATCTCCTCGCCAGGACCTCAGTGCTCAGGACCAGCACTGGCTGAAGTGCGGCTCGAACTGGCATCTCAACACACACAATTCCTGGGCTCATCCTTAGCGCGGGCTGGCCCCAGGGCCGAGCTGTCTCTCGAGACCTGACTGTCACCTCCGCCCTGGCCCGGGCTGGCCACCGCCACGCGTCCCTCCTGCTGCGGGGCCTCGTGGGGGGGCACAGAGTTCTAGACACACACGCATGCAGCGCCCCCAGCGCCAGCCGCCCCGCTGCGAGAGCCTCCGTCCGGCCAGACGCACCGCCACGCTCCTTCCTCGCAACAAAGACTGGGGAGGACAGAAACCATTTCTAGACCTAGAAGGAAACTTCCCCAGCCTCTGTGAAAAACACCTGTGCCAACGCGTACATCCTGAACGCGGAGGCGAAGCGACGTCCCTGAAATCAAGACTAAGATGAGGATGCCCACACTGCCCACTCACAGTCGGCATTGTGCTGTGAACGCTGGCGGACAAGGGCTCAGGCAAGGAAAAAACCGCATTTCCGAGAAAGAGGTAAACCGATACACACCGGCAAGTGACACAAGCTCACGTACAGAGACTGTCCTGGCTAGAGGGAGAGCCAGCAGGGTCGCAGGATCAGTATACCAACACCAATGTATTCGTATCTATTCACAATAAACAATTCAAAAGAGAAATTAAGAAGATAATCCCATTAACAATAGCACCAAAAACATTTGATTAATAAAGTTCACAGAAGTTCAGGATGTCCATCTAAGAACCACAAAATGTTATCAAAAGAAGTTAAAGAAGACCTAAGTGAATGAAGACCTAAATTGAAACGCTTGATATTGTAAAGATCCATTGATTATTGATCAATTACGCATCAAATGCATGTAAGATTCGACACAATCTCTCAGGTGTGTCAGTGTGTCAGGTGCTTACCTGTGTAATCCTAACTATTTGGGAGGTTGAGATCAGGGAGTTCAAGTTTAAAATCCAGCCAGGGAATATACACAAAAGCCTCAATCAATACCTGGGTTCAGGAAGATGGCTCAATGGTAGAGTGCCAGCCTACCATGCAGGAAGCCCTGGGTTCAATTCCTCAGTGCACATACACAGAAAAAGCCAGAAATGGCGCTGTGGCTCAAGTGGTAGAGCGCTAGCCTTGAGCAAAAGAAGCTCAGGGGCAGCGCCCAGGCCCTGAGTTCAAGCCCCAGCACTGGCAAAAAAAAAAAAAAAGAATCCCTGTGTGCAGTGCATATGTCTGTCGTCCCAGCTACAACAGGAAGCGTGAAACGAGTGTGCCCAGTCCAGTCAAGAGCCCAGCACCTCCACAAAACACCCAAAACGTTTCGAAATAACCGTGGAAAATAAGGCTAGAGGCACGGCTTAATGGGAGAGCACCTGCCTAGCACTCACAAAAACTCGAATTCAAACCCCAGTACCAAAATAAGGCATCTTTTGTAGATACTGATGAACAGATTTTAAAACGCATGTGAAAGGAGGTGAGGGAGGGAAGGTAGAAAGGGTAGGGGAGGAAGGAAGGAAGGGAGGGAGGGAGGGAGGGAAGGAGGGAGGAAGGAAGGAAGGAAGGAAGGAAGGAAGGAAGGAAGGAAGGAAGGAAGGAAGGAAGGGGAGCGCAGAGAAGGGAGACATCATAATTAACCTATACAGCATGTCAAATGGATCTTGCAGACATTTCTAGAACATTTCATCTAGCAGTTGAAAAGTACACATTCTTCTTATCAGCACATTATTTCTACGTTTGTGGATGGAAAGAATTGATACTGTTAAAATGTCCATACTACCCACAGTAATCTATGGGTCCAATCCAATCTCTCAATTCTTCACAGAACTAGAGAAAATAATTCTACAATTCATTTGGAATCACAAAAGACCCTGAATGTCTAAAGCAATCTTGAGCAAAAGAATAAAGCTGGAGGTATCACACTGCTTGACTTCAAAACATACTTACAAAGCTACAGTAATCAAAACAGCAAGATACTCGCCTAAGAACAGGCAAACAGACCAATGGCATAGAATGGCGTAAATGCCTCATGGATTTACCATCAGTTGATTTGCAACAAAGGCACCACAAATATACATTGGAGAAAAGATGCTTCTTCTATAAATAGTCCTGGGAAAACTGTCTACTCTCGGAGACTGAAACTTGACCATCGTCTCTTACCTTATAAAAAAGAAAGTCAACATAGATCACAGACCTAAATGTAAGTCATGAAACTACAAGAATACTCAGAACTATTTCAAGGCATCTGTACAGATAGGGAGTTTTTTAATAAGACCTTCAAAGAAAGCAAACCAAAACCCAAATAGGGGACTGGGGATGGAGCTCAGGGGAAGAGCACATTTGCTTCGCACCCATGAGGCTCTGGGTTCAATTCCTAGCAACCCCCACCCCACACACATAAACTAATTTGAAAGTGGAGCTGTGGCTCAAGTGGTAGGGCACATCTTGAGCACAAAGGCTCAGAGAAGGCCCTAGTTCAAGCCCCAGGCCCAACAGAATAAAGAAACACACACAGAGAATTGGTAAGTGGGATTATGTCACACTAGAAGTTTCTGCCCAACAAACAGAAGACACAACACAAAGCATTAGTATCCAGAATAAATAAGGAACATCAAAAAACCTCAATACAAATAAATAATCTAGCTTTAAAATAGGACAGGATATAAATAGTCACTTCCTAAAAACAATTCAAATGATCAAACAAATTTATGAAAAAAAGTTCTAGTTCATGAGCTGTCAGGGAAATAAAAGTCAAAACCACAATGAGATATCATCTCACCCTAGTTAGAATAGCTATTACCAGAAGGTCAAAAAACAACCAGTACTGGCAAGGATGTGGAAGAGAGAGAACTCTTACTCACTCTCCGGGAAAGTAGACTATCGCAGCAGCCACAGTGGAGGACAGCAAGCAGTTCCTCCAGGAAGTAAAGTTAAAACCACCTTGAGCTCTAGCTATCCTGGGAATGTGTTCAAAGGAAGTATCAGTATGCCAAAAGGATGTCTGTCCATTGCGCTGCACTTTTCACAATCCTTAAAGAGATTAAAAAGAGGAAAAGTAGAAGTGTGGTAAATATATACTGGATGCACTGTTATATGGCCATTAAAAGGACGTTATTTGCAGCAAAACCTATGAAATGGAAGGCCGTTACAAGAGGCAAAACAAGTTGACATAGGTAAATACCACATAAGCTACTTCAAATGTACAGGCTTTAAAAAGTTGTCCCAAATATATAATATATATTAGGAACTACTAGGGGCTGAGAGGCTGGAGATGGATGAAGGAACATTGGGTAACTGTTACCAAAGCAAGGACAGAAGTAAGTTAAAATATTCTGTAGCACAGTGCGTGACTGAAGCAGTCAGGAAAAAAGAACAAACGAGGAGCTCGTCCCCGGAACTCGGTATCTGGTAGGCAGAAAGGGACCCTACCATGCAGGTGTAGACAAAGTTTATGAAGACATCATACACTTCTACAGGGCACAGGAGCAGAGGAGGCAAGTCTGCAGTCAGGAGAGACTCACGGGACAGAAAGTTGACCTTGGGGAAGGTGGACAATTAGCCACCTTTAATCAGAAAGAGTCCTTCAAGGTAATAAAAGAGGAAGCAAGGTGCCCGTGGGCGGCCATTAGAGAAACGCAGGAGGCACGTTGAGGCCTCGTTCTACACAGCTCACCCGAGGAGCAGGAACGGCTCGTCCAGTCCCGTCCCAGAGTCACGGAGGAAGGGGTCCCCCTCCCCCGGAGGAATGCACGCCAGCACGCACCCGCGCCACACCGGAACTCCGGCGACCCGCCGGCCCATGCCCCGCACACGCCAACATGCCCCGCACACGCCAACATGCCCCGCACACGCCAACATGCCCCGCACACGCCAACATGCCCCGCACACGCCAA